TTGAGCTGGGTCCTTAGTTCATTCACAGTCTGAAACGAGCCATATGAACTCCTCTTCCTCCAAGCCAACTTTCTTCTGATTGGGTGCCCCTCACAAACTCAAAGCTTAAGCATTAGGTGGTTGGTTCCTAAGTGCCAGAGATGAATTAGGGAAGTCCCCAATCTTTGACATTAGGCAAAGCCAAGAGTAGAAAATAAAGTCTGAATTTGAGTGTTTAGAACAGCCTGAAGGGAACCTCTTGTACATACAATAACCTCATTATTTAAAACCAGTTTAACCTGAACAGTAATGAGGTATATGTGACAGAAAATAAGGGAAAGGATGATAGCTTCTCTTTAAATGTAACTGAACCTCCTAATCTGTCTCAATGCATGATGACACTACTAAAATACATGAAAACCTAATGGTGGTCGATTACAATCATAAAGATTAACATCACATGTTTGTTGTTTCAATTAATTTCAAATGCTGCTGTGTTTTATGGAATAACAGTGGACGTGCCACTGATTAAACTTTAATAACTTCAATGCATTTTTACGGTTACAATATGGAAAACCAGTATTTTCAGTGCACTGTGTGACTAATAAATCATTGGGTGAGTTAATGCCATTTTTAATGTTTCATTAAAACGTACAAAAATAAAGCTGCTCTTTTGTGGGAGAAACATTTCATATTGTTGCTGAAGGATAGAGAATTAAATGTAGAACAGTGCAAAACCAAATCCTCAAAAATAAATATATAAATTGAATAATTTCCAAATACAAACTAACAACTATATTTTGATTCTTTGTTAAATTTTTGTGCCTTTTTGGATTGATAAAAGTGATATTATCTGATTAACTGATAGAACTACAACACAAAAGTTGTGCAAAAGTCCTGACCCACCCTTTATTTCTTTATACTTTGCTTATAACTTTTTTGGTCTAAGCACTTGTTCTCCAGGCTTTCTGAAGGTCTTTCAAAGTTTTTCTTTTCACTTATTTTTCTTCCAGCTCTTGTACCTGACCATCTTTAGAGGGATGTTTTTTGAGGCATCATCAGAAATGTCTCAATGGTGTTGGTGGTCACAATTTATGAAGTCATGAATGCAATTGTACATGAATTGTACAAGTAGCCTGGAGAACTTTAAAAAGGTTTTATGATGAAAAAATAGCCTGATGTTAGATATTGATTAGTGGGTAGAGGGGTTTAAAAGTCTGGATCCAGGAAATGGAAAAACATGCTCAAAGTCTTTGCACAATTGCTCTCAAAAATACATCAGCTGAGGAAAGTATGGGATCAAATTGTGGTCATAAATATTTTGTACTTTTAAATCAGAATGTGTATATATGTGCATCTGTAGATAAGAATTTGTGTGTGTGTAGAAAAGATTTGGGTGTGTAAAAATATTTACACAAGTTACAAATTATTTTTGTTAAGATCTGGTTACAGATACAAAGCAAAAAAAAAAAAATACGTGTAAAACTCAAGTTTTAACTTACAAGTACGAATTTTGACCCGATTTTTCTTCCTTTCAGCTGATTGGTCAATGTCATATCAGTCACAAATTTAACTATCCAATCAGAGAACAGAGAACAGAATTGCAGTACTTGCTGCAGTTTTGTGAGTACAAAACTGATCAAAAATATTTTTGACCACAATTTGAGCCCACAGGGAAAGAATCAGTGTTTAAACTGTGAGTACAGTTCAGCTGAAGTCATTAAAATCACAGTCTGGGGTGAATGAAAAGACTGTTGGTGAAACTTCTCTATCACACGACATAGCGTGTGATGAAGACTGCTTAATTTGAAGGGGTCACAAGTCAAAACGGATGAAACCTGCCCCCGCCCCATTTCTGCACATAGCTTGTTCTGAAGACTACTACTACTTATGGTAGCTTTATCCAAATATGTGGTACCTTGTTGTATTTTTAGTTTATTTATTTTTTGCATTGTTGACTCATTGGCATTATGCCTCTGTAATAATAATGTCATTATAGGTTAATAATGAAGTGAAGGTGGTCAATTTTCTCCAAAACTAGGACACCCCTCAGTTTTAGCATGTGGGTAATTCTTTATTTGACAAGAAGCACTCCAAGAGCACAAACCTCCACTAACGCAGGGCACTATCTGGGAAGTGTTTTTTTTAAAGGAATAGTATTGTATTTTGTGTATATTCATTTTGGGGTTTTTGTTGTTGTTCATTTAACACATACGTTACAAAGTTTGTAGTGTAAGAGTAGGTAGTGGCTGATCGTATTGATTTGACTTGAGCTTATTATATAATACTACATACTATAGTATATTCTAACTAACTAGGCAGCTCATTTTCTTTCTCTTTAAAAAATACTTTATTTAAAGATATAACACACCTTCAGTTGTTGTGAAATGTAAAACTGATCAGAGGTCAAATGTGACTGATGTTTGAATGCAAACTGTAATGTGATATTTAGAATCACCATTTACTTGTATCCTTTCTTAAATTTTGCCAGTACAAACACAGACTTTTATGTAAAGTTTTAAAGATAAAAGACAGTATAAGTTTTATCTTATTTGAACTAGAAAATGAGGTCTAATATTTAGAATCCCTATATTTCTATATGTTGTAAATTAAACCAATGGCATTAAGAAACATAGTTTTAAATAGTTCTGTAGCAATATTACTTTGACGTGAAAATCAGTCTATTTAACTTAGAGCTCGAAGGTCAAATTTGACATATTCTAAATCTTTATATGGCCATTTTTAAATATGGTTTCTCGGTTTTGACAAGTAAATCATCAGCGTATTGAAGACATCGAAGGATGCAGGCCAAATTTGAATGGATTGTTTAGATGACCACACAATACACTCCTACAAATTTTTTTTAGAATTAATTCAAATTTTTTTAAACTATCGTTTAAAAGGAGAAGGAAACGCGTAAAAACAGTGCCAAAAACACATAACCTCTTTGGTGGCGGTAATATTAAATTTTACACCTCATCCCTATTAATGTGGGACAAAACACCTTTCGGACATTTTTAATCCCCCAAAGAGGATGTGTGAAACTGGAAAGTAAATTATATGCAGATAATATTGTTTTACCACACGATGTCGCAGGGTTTTCATTATGTGTGTCAGGGCTGGGAGGCTTACTCACTTAGCATTGCACTCCGAGGCAGAAGATGGCGCTATTAAGCTCATACTCGAAACCAACTGCCGCGAAAAACCAGGATGATGAGCCCTTAAACAGGGTGAGGAGCGGCAGGAGGAGGGAGTCCACCACATATCAAACTCTGTGCTGTAGCATATGCGGCTAAATCATAAAACTGCCAGCTAAAGCTATGTAGCCTGTGCAACCTGCTCTCTGGCATTCACGGGGACACGAGAAGAGCCGGGGTTTTCTTCTTTCTTTTTAAAGTTTCTAACTGTGATATTTTTAATACTATCCGGGAACGGCAGCAGCAGCAACAACAACAACAACATCATCAGCTGGCGTTTAGCATTAGCAGCCAAGCTTCCCGGAAGGAGGCCGCAGCGCCGGGTGGAGGTTTAACTTTCCCTGCCCTGACGTCCGCACCGAAGTGATATAAACCCAAATGATAAACTGATATTTATTTCCTCTCGGTAAGAATGGATTCCTCTTTGGGGATATGCAGCGAGGAATGCTTGGCAATATCCTTTCTGAGTTATGGTATTTTTTGTTTTGTTTTGTTTTTTGGCTTTAGCTTGTTGGCTAACGTTAGCTTTTAGTGAAGCCCATTAGGCAACGTTAGTAATTCAGTAATATGGAGATATTCAGTAACCGTGCACTTAAATAATCATGTTATAAAGTAGCTACAGCTCACTTTTAATCCAGTTCATTGCTAACCGCACAGATATATGCCCAGTGTCATGCAATTAACGCTAATTCAAATCACTTGTACAGAATAACGTTGGCCATCCTTACACCTTTACATCCTTAAGCTAAAAATATTACCTGCACTGGCACCAGCAAACCCAGCATCTGCGGTGTTTTGTCCCACTTCCTGCTGTTTTCATTTATAACCTTAAGTTGCCCACCTTTTAACTGGCATGGCTTGTTCTAACCCTTCGGAGTATCTGTAGTGTAATCTCAGTAATCTAATCTCAGTTTACAAAGCCTGGCGTGACAGTCACTAGTTTCTCATTCTCAGTCACAATAATTCCTTGATTGTGCTGCTCACACTGTAAAATGCCTGGAGCTGAGGTCTGGCCAGAAGGAGCCCAGACTCCTGTCACTAATTGAACGCGGTGGAGAGTTTATGTAAGTATCAATGAGCCAAATGACTGAAAAACAATGTGATTTTTGTCAAGCAGTAGATAAACTTATTGAGAACCATGAGTAGTGGTAATGAGTTGTCGAAACAATTTGAACACCCTAGGTTTGTGAGAGCTTGTAAAGCTGTGGTTTGTAGCATATCTGAGGTGTCTGCCCAACTCTGGGTTTGTCTTTTATGTTTCCTCCTATCTCTGACCCACAATTGCTGTGATATCGGTATGGTTCAAAATACATTCTGTTAGGTCAGAAAGGTGTGCCGTGATAGCGTCACACTGAGTACTTGGCAGGATGATGGATAATTATATAGTTTAACTGGCCACTTGGTTAGGTAATAATAATATGGCAGTAACACAGTGCATTTAGGCATGTAAATTTGGTCAAGAAACGCTGCTGAAGTTCAAACTGAGTATCAGAACACGAAAAAGAGGTTATTTATGTGACTTTTATTGTAGTGTGGTTGTTGGTGCCAGATGGGCTGGTCTGAGTATTTTAGCAACTGCTAATCTACTGGGATTTTCCAGCACAGTCATCTTTAGTGTTTACAAAGTTTGGCCTGAAAAAGAGAAAATATCCAGTGTGCTGTAGTTCTGTGGGCAAAAGTGCCTTGTCATAAGTCTGAAGGGAATGGCCAGATTGCTTTTAGCTCACAGGAAGGCTGCATTAAGTCAGATATCCACTCATTACAACAGAGAGCTGAACATCATTTACACACC